CATTCCTGTTGCTGTGTGAATGACAACAATGTTGTGTATGTATTTAGGTTTGTGTCAGGCCTTGTCTCTCCATGTGAGAAAATTCCCAGGAGTGTTTCACGGGCGCGTGGGGACAAACCTCCTGCATGGCCCATAAAGCACTTTGCTATGGGCCACTATAAAGCATCATTACAGGGCGATGTTTAAACTTGGGAGATTAACACAGACTCTCAATTGCACTTACTTATTTTTATAATGTGTAATTTAGCAACTGAACTGTGAAAAGTTATGGCATAGCAAAGTCTTCTTAAAAACAGTGGTTCCAACTGTGCTTTCAGCTTGCTTTGTTGGGAATCTGGAGCAATTCCATCCTCTCAGTCAAAAGAAGGAAGGAAAATTGGGTTGTTTCTGGGAGCTGCTCAGATGGTGTGGTGTAAGTATATCTGAAATGTATTGTCAGGTGTTGGCATGGCACATTCTCTGCTCCTGTTGAAATCAGCAAAGAGCTTGTGCCCAGTTTCTCAGGAGCCAGACTTGGACAATACTGTTCTCTGCATGCAGAACACTTTGGCACTTGCCATTTTGCTCAGGGAGTTGTGTGATGGTATTTTTCCCTGGATGAAGAAAGTTGTGATCAAGCCTCTGTGTGAAAACCAGCTGCTTTTTCTGTGGCCATCACACATCTAGATAGCCAAGAGATCATTCCCTGCTACTTACCACTTCCAACTGAACTACCCCATGAGGCTATTTCAGAATACTTGTTTTCTTCAGGGCTCTTCCATGTAAATATACTGAATTGAGCAGCAAAATTTTGACCATGACTGTCTTTGTTTTGCAAAGTTCTCTTGTAAACAGGCACCATGGGGCTCCCTGAATAGCCTCATCAGTGCAACTGAATGGGAGAAACAAAGGCATAGGAAATGAAATGTCCATTCCATTTCCTATTCATGTAAGTGATAGTTTATCATACTGTTTATTAGCTTCACATAGTCAGGATCTGTGATGGTTCTTAAGCATTTTATTGCTTTTTTTATACCTTTAATGAGCTGCAATAAAACATTGCCTTACCTGAGCCCTGACTCAGTGCTGAGGCATTCTCCAAACTTGGTGTTATAATTGGTATTAATTCAGCATTACCTGTGGCAAAGGGTGTCACCACAGCACAAAGCAGCTGTAGTGCATCTTTACCAGTGGCTCTTTCTCTCTTCAAAATGTTTCTCTCGAAGACTACATGGGATTCCTGGAATGAACAATTTTAAGTAATCCATAACCATGTTTTTAATAATGATGCCTATTTTCTTTAGATCTCTCCTCAGCAGATCAGGCAATGATGTACAAAGGAACTAGCAGGACACAGGTTGTACAAGTGTGAACGTCAGGGACACACATCAGGAAGGGAAATGATTCTCCTCAGGTCATCATCCTTTGGAGCAGCAGCAGGATTGAGAATTGTAGAATCATTTGGGTTGGAAAAGACCTCTAAGATCTTTGAATCCAACCATTCCCTCAGCACTGCCAAGCCCACCACTAAACCATTTCCCCAGGTGCCACATCTACATGTCTGCTGAATATCAGCTGAGCAGTGTGTCAGTATATCTCTTCAATAAAAAAT